TATTATTCAAAATAAAGCAAAAATTATTATTAGATCACTTATTTTTAGTAACGCTTCATCGAAAAGAACAGAATTAACAGCTCTCACTTGGCGTTTCAAACGTGAATTCCACTTAAACATTTTGAAATGTTTATATGTAACGCGCTTTTATAAATTCATTTGCCGGTTTGTTCAGCAAAAAAAAAAAAAGTAATGTGGCTTTTTAGTGCCAATTATTGCTACCCGATTGCGACTGGCGCTAGTTGTATGACAGAAAACTGCAGTAAGCGGTAAGCGAACAATCGCGGTACGTGATACGAAATAATTTGACGTTTTGCGATCGGTCGCGACGCGTCTGCACAACATCTGCAAAATTGTGGCTGTCGCAAATTTTTACGTGATCAGGGGGCGGGTCAAAAAGATTCTGTCAATCGCGATCGACACAGGACTAGTAGGCTGACGATCATACGGCTCACCTGATGGTGGTTACCGTCGTCCATGGATTTCAGCAACGCCAGGGGCATAGCCAATCTGCTTAAATTATTCCTATTTCTTCTTGTTCGGATTGGTATACACCACATAGATAGACATATAAATGTAATGGCAGCGTTGCCAACTCAAAATTCGTCAAGGTGGGAGATAGAGTTCTACAAGTTGGTAGTTTCCAACAAACCCTACTATGAAAAGTTGGTAGATCTGCCACCTTAGTAGATCTATCACCTTGGTAGATCTACCACCCATACTTTTCAAGTCTTTTAGAGACCCTCCAATAAGTCATCTGGCAATCTGGCATCCTTAATTTACTTTTCGATTGGATAAGATATATTTGAATTTTGAACTATTTTTATTAGAAATCCGATGATAAAACAGAATAACAGGCCACTAATATTCGTCTTTTTCCCATAGTTGAGAATATTTTTGATTGTAATGCATCTTTTTTAATTTTCGAGGAGGAGAATTTTCTTCGTTTTCACTTTCACTTTCACTCATTTTGATAGTGTTCAATTGAAACGTTTTAAAAATTACAATCAGTTACTTGTTAATTGAATCGCGTTAGATATAGAGTTCAATATTATTTTCATGGAGGTTTGAACTTTTTGAAAACTTCAAAAATTGGTAGATAAGTGGTAGGTTTGATTATGACACTAAAAGTTGGTAGAGTTGGCAACGCTGTGTAATGGTACCATCATGATTTGAATTAAAATGGAAAAGCTATTGAAAATCTCAATGACAACTGACATTTGAGTGGTACACAGAGTATATAAAATATAGCTATAAAGTATGTAGGTATTTGAATTATGATTATGAATTATGCTAGTAATCATTAAAGGGCAAGTAAAGGTTAAACATATTTCATTAAATATCTTGATAACTAAAGTTTATTTTTCATTAAAATTTGTGTTATATAATCAGCTAGTCTATTCCTCAAAATAGTTGTTCAGTCAAAGAAAATTAAAAAGGCCAATACTCATTCTCTTCCACAGTGATTGAAATAAAACAACAATATTTTTACAATCTATTTATTTGATCGGTATTGATAAAACGATACCATGACATGAATATTCAATATATGCTCGATTGATAAACGTTTCACTACAAGATGTTTACTTCATCCTTCAGATTACATTATTCGTGAAAATTTTATACGCTGACTATGGCAAGTAGAGAAGACTAAGTTATTAAGAATCAATATAACGCATATTATTATTTTATTAAAGATACTGCGACCGAAAATGTGTCTAACATATTATTTTATTTGATATCTGTGAACACATACATTGCAGAGCATGCAAGAGTTCTTTAAATCTATTTAAATTATTTTGAGAACGAATGTATTTATATGGTATCGGAAACAAACATACAAATATACCAAAATAGAGCAGATCAGAACAAAAACAGGCACACACATACACTGGGCACTGGTAAACGTTTCCATTTTAGTCGTCTAAGTACATATAGAGGGATGAAAGGCTGTTCGGTTTAAGCGACATTTATCTTTGTAATTAAAGATGTGTTTTATTTGTGTGTGTTTTATTAGGATTAACAGTTCGATATTTTTAATTGAACTTCAATTAAGTTTACACCATTGAAATAGCTGAAGAAGTTTTTTGGTTATGATTTTTTTTTCAAATTTTAAACTTAAAATAAAAAAATTGCTCTCCAGTAAAATTGCAAAAATGTCATTTAAACCAAATAACCTTTAACCCCTCTATATTATGTTATTCGACAGGCTACATTTGACAAAGCAGTTACGTCAAAGTGACATACGTCATCATTACCACATAGGTACCATATAAAATTGATTTTATCACCAAATAATAAAATGTCATGAGCCACTTTTGGAATGCTTGGTAGAATATAACCTTATAGCTTAAATATTTATTCTATATTATTATTTTGATATACATAAATATTGCATTGAAAATGTGCAATTCTAAGTGCAGATCGGGTTTATATTCGAGTTATAAATTGCAATGGTACGATACAATGTACTTATTTTAAACATAATAGCCTAATAAAAGTTATTTATAGTTAGAAAAAATCTGCGTGCAATTTTATTTATATTTAAGTTAGTGTTCAGCTATTGTTAGATCTTCACTATATAAGTTATATAAGTTAAGTTTATTATGAGTGTATATTAAACAGACCGACGACTTATTCGGTTTTTGAAAACTCGAATATTTTGTATCCTATCGATAAATATGTATCTACTGAGAATAATTAAATCAAATAGTAGAATGGCACAAAACTTTGAAACATGCACTATAAATAACTGATATAAGGATTATAATGACTAGAAGAATTTTATAAAGACACCATTAAAAATTGCAAGAAATCGTTTCAATCTAACATCAGTATTATGTCATCAAATTATTTACGTATAGGCTTTATAGACGAATATACCTTTAAAGATACTTTGTCTGTATAAAATGTTCTGTTAACTTAATTTACTTCAAATAGAATCAGTCGAATTTGTATAAAAATTAAAATAATTGCACACACATTATATACTTTAAGTCAGCATTTGTCAGTCAAAAGTCCTGTTAAAATGCAATAGTTAACGTTGAGTAAAAACAAATTTGGCGTCAATTATGTTTTCTATTTTACCATTACTATACCGTAATTTTTTTTGTTTTCTATAGCCTATGAAAGCTGTTGTCGTAGTGTAGTGTTTACAAAATAAATAAAAAATTAAATATGAATGTGTCATAGATATTAAAATTAGCAAATTAGATTACAGGTGCATAAAATAGAATAAATACATTGATAAAATTATAATTCGGCTTGGTAAACATCAGTTTAGGGAAATATATCATATTCATAAACTTATAGCTTTTAATAAGGTTATTTAAGTTATACGATATTCATTAGCATTAAATTACTTAGAAGTATAAAGTTTGATTTATAAAATTGAAAAATATTATTACATAAAATTATGGTTTGCATATGTTCTCAATTGAATAGCATTTTATTATTACAATATTATTGTTTATAATATGATAAGTATAATTTAGTGAGTTATCTATAAATGTATTGTTGAATTTTCCACTTATTTGGCGACACTAGCCCAATAATAAAACCCATCCCGATTAAATAATATCATTAAAATAAATATAGTATCATAAAAATTTCATAGCGTACGGCATTTTTAACGCCCGTTAAACTGGCTGGTCACAACTTTTTCTTTCCATAAAAACGTTCTTAATACTTTTTATGACAACCTTTTTGTGCCCCTGATTTATCGAAAGTTTTGAAAAAAAAAAAAGAAACTGTTATTCTCGTCATCGACTACATATTTACTGGTTCAATATGATCTTAATCATCTAAGCTCGGGGGATTCTCCTCGGAGTAAGAGTGGGGCTTCAGATAAATGAGAAAGGAAAGTAGTCGATCGTTGGCTGCTTCGGAGCCCCTGAAATAAAAATAATACATAATAATTATTACAAAACACTGAAAGGATTTTTGGGCACTATGACAGGTTCAAGTTAACTAATGTTTTTTTTTTTAACTTAGCAATGAATTTCTTACTCTATGTCAATCTCAATAGCCAGTACGGTCTGATGCGGTTTCCCCTCCTCGTCGATCCAACTGTAAAATCACAAAACTGTTAATACAAATGTTCATTTTACAAAATAATATTTTTTATCATAGTGATCCAATTTTTTTTTATTGCTTAGATGATAGGTGGACGATAAATGCGCCACCCACCTTGAGATATAAGTTCTAAGGTGTCAGTATAGTTACAACGACTGCCCCACCTTTAAAACCGAAACGCATTACTGCTTCACGGCAGAAATAGGCGGGGTGATGGTACCTACCCGTGCAGAGAGAGTGCAGTCACAAGAGGTCCTACCACCAGTAATTACGCAAATTATAATTTTGCGGATTTTATTTTTACGACACGATGTTATTCCTTCACCGTGGAAGTCAATCGTGAACATTTGTCAAGTACGCATTTCATTAGAAAAATTGGTACCCGCCAGCGGGATTCGAACACCGGTGCATCGCTACATACGAATGCACCGGACGTCTTATCCTTTAGGCCACGACGACTCTACGATCCTCTACTAGCAATCTTCTGTCACGATCCTAGCAAATATTAGGTCAAAGTATATTCTTGTTTTGTCATCAGTCCTTCATGTGTGCCATTTTTCAAGTTAATAAGAGCCGGATGGTACGTGCTGAAAAAAGATCTCTCGAAACGCAATGTCGTTGAACGCAGCGGTTCCGGATAGTATACATGAACTCTGTTCCGGTGTCGGGAGATTTGATGGTAAGGAGGACGGACCCTCTCAAACATATCTCAGAGCACTCCTCATTGAAGATACGGTAGATAAACAAAGAGAGTAAGTAGTAATAATACTCATTTTTCAATTTTTTTATAAATTTTAATTAATTTTAATACTTTCAAAAAAACGCGCTATGAGAGTGAGGTGTTTACGTTTACACAGTGCCACTAGATGACACTCGAGTTATAAACAACGATCTTGGGTTTTTTTTTTACAAGTCGAGAAAAAATTAAAATGTCACGAAAGTGTAAATACGATGCTGATGCATTTTGTTTCATATGTCATCAATTTATTAAAGTTCAAAAGCAAACTAACTGTTTCATGCCATGTATTTTTTTTCCATCTAATTACGATCTAAAATATCGAAATTTTATGCTTTGCAATCAAAGTAAAATTTGATGTTGACCTTGTAGGCAGACGATTATTTTGAAATAAAATATTTCTGCTTAGTCTTGTGATCTGAATTTTTTTTAAAATACTGAGTAGTGTCATTTAGCAAATAAACTAAGGCTCATCAATAGCTATTAGGCAATGAAATGTCTGTTGATAATACAGGATATTTTACCTAACTTTTTTGTTTATTTTTAATTTATTGCTTTTGTAGGCCCCTGTGAGTGTACGGCCCACCTGAAGGTGAGTGGTTACCGTCGCCTATTGACTTCAGCAATGCCAGGGGCAGAGCCAAGCCGCTGCCTACCAGTGTAATAGAAGCGTGTTAAAAAAATAGTCACATGTCAGAGAACGAAGTCGACGTGCAGGGTACGTCTACTAGAGCACGTGGTCTTCGCACCGAGCCGCTCTCCCCGTGCGCGGCCTGCGCCGAACCCAGAATGTTCCTCGACACGTTCCAAAAGCCACGCTGAGCCGCTCCCACACCGTCTATACGCTCGATGCGAACCCAACCTGAGTTGTTAACAAGGTATTATAAAACTTAATAGTACACGTCAAACGTATTCGATAGTTGACATATCTTTAAATTATTACGTGAAGCAAAAACTTTGTATCTCTTTTAACGAAAATTGCGCGGACGGAGGAGTATGAAATTTCCCACGCTTATAGTTTATATGAGTCGTCTATTATCAAAGGTGGCAATCTGTGCATTTGGACAAAAAAAAATTATTGATATGTCAATACAGATTGATTTGAATATAATCGTCTCCTTCAAAGAATACGGTTCAAAACCTGCATTAAATAAAGGTCAATAGTTAACCTGTTATTTATCTAAGATGTCGTTCCGAAGAGTTTTGTGACTGCCAATGGAATACAAAGTCAATAATTCGTTTTTCTGATTTACCAATCATTGTCCAAAAGTCAGATTGCCGGCTTTGATAATAGTCGACTCATATAGAGAAGGAGTGCAGAATGCTAATATTTTTTCAAAATTATGCATTAAAAATACACTAAATCAATAAGCAAAACATTGTACACATTACCATGTTTTTGACACACACACGCATATATACTCTTTTATTTGTTGTTTTTTTTTATTGCTTAGATGGGTGGACGAGCTCACAGCCCTAGTGTTAAGTGGTTACTGGAACCCATAGACATCTACAACGTAAATGCGGCCACCCACCTTGAGATATAAATTGTAAGGTCTCAGTATAGTTACAACGGCTGCCCCGCCCTTCAAACCGAAACGCATTACTGCTTCAGGGCAGAAATAGGCGCGGTGGTGGTACCTACCCGTGCGAACTCAAAAGAGGTCCTACCACCGGTAAATTAATGATAGGATTTGAGAATTCACCTATTTAATTGTTCCCGTATTAGAGTTAATTTCGGCGTTGTGTGATTCAATCTGCACAAACGCATAAAACATACAAGGAAAAAGCTGGTTGTCAATATTTCATAGAATGTTATGTATAAATATTATAAAAAGTTTGGCTAAGGCCCGGCGACCACCAACTCAGTGTCCAGTGGGCAAGGGAATGTATATACTTTACGCAAAACTCGTCACCTTGCCCCCGACCGGTTTCGGGTGATTTTATTAGTAGAATTCTACTAATAAACTGTACTTTATTAGTAGAATTCTACTAATACATGTAACTATACTGAGACATTACTAACTGATGTCTGTGGGCTCCAGTAACCACTTAACACCAGGTGGGCTGTGAGCTTGTCCACCCATCTATCAATAAAAAAATAATTTAAATTCATGACAATGCAATACATACTAACCAGCAAACGGAGGCAGTAAGTCCGGTTGGCAGTTACTGCAGTAGCACCGTACCTGGCCCCAGGACACTGCCTTTCGGAGTTCAGGGTACGGACAAACCAAAAAGTTCCAATACTTCAAAACAAGATGCAGGTGCTCACAGCCTTCTCCTGACGCTTCCCACTCGGACTCCAAGCTCTGACCTTCGTCCATCTCTTGATCGAAGCACAAGATGCGATTGAGGTAATTCAAGTTCTCAATAGATAGCTGCTCGGACCATAGCTCGTCGCGGCGCGTCGATTCATCTAAAGACGACGATTGCTCTTCGGTTAGATCAGGCAAATTACCAGTTTCCAAAGTGAGAGCGTCCATTATCTCATTATCCAAATTATCGACATCGTTCGCTTCGGGATACCGATCGTTATGGCGAATGTTCGTATCGTAAAACTGTCCGTGCGACAAGCTGTCCGAGTGATCCGCTATCTGTGAGCCTACACTGTACGTATGACGTAACACCTTTAGTTCGATATCGTCTTGTATCAGACTAAAATTATGAGAGGAATGACTCTTGTGAATGAAGCGCGACGATGTAGATGTATCACAGCTGTTTGACGACATCGTATTGTCTGACATTATCAGGCTTTGGTGTAAAGAGAGCTGATTGGGACATTGTCTCTTGCGTCTTATCGCTGGATTCTTCGTCTCGAAGTTACTGAGCGGAATGCATTCTAGAGGCAGGATATCGCGTCGGGAGCTGGGTCCAGGCTGAGCCGCGATAGGTTCCAGCTCGTCCTCGATGAGGTTGTCGTGACTATAGGCTTTCAGTTTTCGACGGATTCGCATTTCGGTCAAATTGGTTTCGAATAATTCACGAGTTGGTTCTTCATTCATGTCGAGATCCGACATCGATTCTTCTCTTTGATTTTCAGCTATGATGGGTAGGTCGATCGAAGTGCCGCTCACGACCACGTGAGGATGCAACAGTACAGACACCTAGAATTTGAATTCGAGTTTTTAATTAAACTACAATGGCGGCTATCCTTGTAGCTTTATGGTAGTCTTATAAATCAGAACGCATAATTTATTTGCACCAGAAATGAATAGGACAGTGGTACTAATCTACAAGGGCTCACAATATGCCCTACCATCAGTACTCCATTGCAAAAAAAACCGGGGAAAGCTAAACAAGGTTTACAGGTTAAATCGATTATAGACAGATTGCAGGGTAGTAGTGGCTTGAAGATTGCTCGATTCAGTCATACTGATTCATAGCCGGATTATATAGTCCGGACTATATAGTATCTATATAATAGGGCAGGGGTCATCAAATTGCGGACCGCGGTGTTCATCCGGACCGCTGATCAATTTTGTGTGGACCGCGAAAACACAGCAACTTGTACTACTACGCACGGAAATTTCCAGTGAAGACTTCTAGAAAATTTTGTAAAGCAACATTTTCGAAAATGAACTTCATCAAGAATAAATTTCGATCTCGACTTACTGATGAACATCTCTGGGAATTAATTAAAATATCTTGCATTAATTTTCCTCCAAACTTCAGACACATAGGCCGTTTCAAAAATATTTCATTTTTATCAATTATATATAAAAAAATACCTTTGTTATTTCCGTAATTACATTTAATTACTAAATATATATATTTTTTATAAAATGTACGGTGTTGCGCGATTGTCATTTCATTTCTTAAAACAGACTCCGAACTAAGCTAATTAGTGACCTATGGTCTAGCTAGGGTCGCACGGCATTAAGATCGATTCGAATCGATAATACAAACTCGTACTCACTTGAGTGACGCGACCGTAAAGATCGATCAGGGGGAAGACGTGACAAGCATTCCTTGAAACAGCGCCGATGACTCCGAGCGGCTCCGAGTCGATGTCCACGGCAATGTCGCTGTTCAGCCTGAAGTGTATAGTGAGCACCGACTGCTCCGTCAAGTTGTCTAAAGGTGCACCTCTCTTTGTCTTTATCTAAAACGATAATGATTCTTTAATACCAACAAGTAATAGTAGAGGAATTTTAGCACTTATTTTTTGATCTCGACATCTAAGGGGACTTATACTGTTATAAGTTATGGGTTGGTACCGTAGTCATCAGCCACCAGAACAAAAAAAATTATTAATATTAGTATCAGAAGAAGGTTAGATTTTGTATTGCCATTCTAGAATTAACATATTCTGACTTTTTCTTTTAGGCAAAGCCGCCATTTTTATTTGTCTATGGATGGTGGAAGCCACCGACTGAGTAGTTCAAAAAACCTGACTTCGGTAGTACTAAAAATCAGGCAAATACTCCACAATATTACAAAACTTAACACAATTTCCACTAAATAAATGCCGCAAGTATTCGCAGAGATTACTATTTGAGACTTGTATTCATATTTACTTTTCTTATTCGTAAGTACAATATTAAACACAATTAATTGACTCACATAATCACCGTTGTCGTAAATCAGGTCACTTGTAATGACCCACACGGGGGGCTCTAGCTGCATTGCGGTGGGCGGAAGCTCTTCCGAAGCGAGATGACCAACGGCGCCAATACCGACACTTCCGAGCCAGTCCATCATCACTTTATCGATTCGGAACTGCAACAATAGAAACGGTTTTTTAGCCCAAATAATATAATTTCAACATATCTTAAACTTCGCCATTAGACGTGTGTATGAATTCGCAACACATTACGCAAAATGAATTCGCAAAAACATTTTTAGTTTTCTTACCCTAAAGCTATGACCTCTCCTCAGCGGTTGACTGATAATCGCTAAGCCGTCTTTATATCCCGATGTGCGCACGGCAACCGTATCTGCAATTGTATCGATATTAAAATCAAACAAAATCGTATTTCGCCTCGCATTTTTCTTATTAGTTTCGAACGAATCTCACCTGAACTGCAAAGTTTGATGTTCTTGCCGTGAACATAATGGAATGTGTACGGCAGGGGATTCCTTCGCCGCCTCGTCTCAGTGGGTACCACGGTCAGCGTGGACATAGTGTTGCTCTCGGTGTTAGCTGTATCGATACTGGCTATCAAATTTTCTCGGACGTTTTTATTCGATTCAGTATTCGATGTGGACGGTTCGTTTCCTATACCGAACTGGTTGTCAGTTTCGCGGTCCATGTTAGCGCTTGTTGAAACGGGACAAATCGTGCCGTCTTCGTTCAGTTGAGGTTGACGTTTCGGTATAGACTTGTTAGGGATCGTTGCTGTTGAAATAAATATATAAAATTAGTTAATCGAATGAATCGCGGTCCATTAATAACACAACCAACCGACAAAGCTTCAATGAAACAAATAGTAGCGCTGAGGTGAGCACGATCGAAAAACGAAACCCCATGTAATCTGATGTTTTGTATGTAACTATGTGTGATTGCATAATTGCATAATTACTGATGTTAGGACATATATATTTACGTAGTGCATATATACAAATATACACATATATGTGCGCACATATAAGTACCATCATCTGGCCCGTTTCGACCGCGAAGCAATCGTGTATTCCGATTTGAAAAAAAGAAAGATCCATTATAAACTATTCTTGAGAATTTGATCTCATTTCTCAAAGTGAGTGGCGGCATCCACATGTTTATGGGCTCAGACAACATCGACCGATCTAGGGCATGGAATAAAAATATTACTTTATTTATATATATTTTTTTTTCATTGCTGTTTTGATGTTAAATGAAAAAAAGATTATTTTTCACTATCAATCACATTTCTTGTCCGGAATCACCTTGATTTACACTCCATATCAGAAATGCCGCACTAGGTCACGTGGATTATTTCCAATCATTACCGACACTATTAAAAAAAAACATCGCATTTTAGCATATAAAATATCTTAATGATGTCTGTCTGGCTGTCGTATCACAGATCGCCTTTTCGCATTAAAAGCGTACAATTTCCAAAAATATTTGAAATGAGTTGATATGCGTAAATATTTGGTATCACCAGTGTTTTTCTCATAAATACTGTCAAAAGAGCGTAATTCCGTTTTTTTTTTTTTTTTAGTTTCCTTATATTTTTAATATTATTAACAAAATGAATACATAATTGAATCTTACTTTAAAAAACAGATAGTGTAACTGGTAAAAAATAAAAAATAAATGTTGCAAATGATGATTAATATTAAAAAGATTACATGTTAAGCCTTTAAAGCACTCTCTTGTAAAATTAGTTAGTTTTGAGATTATAAAGTTTTAAGGCGAGAAGACGATATAATAAATGAACTTACTTGTATTGCTCGCTGCAACCCCTCCGGCCATAGAAATCGTGTGAATCTTAGTCACAGGCCCGCACAGCTCCATAACAGCGAAAACTTTCTGCAAAAATTCGACCAGACACTACAAACTCTGAGCTAAGTTTAAAATTTCACTTAGAGATTTCAATTCAGCATGTAACTAAGCTGCATTTTCCAAGAACAAAATAGTATTATAACACTACGTTTATTATTATTAACATTCAGGACATTGTATTTAACAATGAACCGTATAATTCGTGAGAGGAACCTATTGTGCACTAATAATGTATTGAATAATACAATGTTGTTATCATTCGAACTCTATACTGAGGTTCATTCGTATCCACGGCCATAACGTTATCTTGTATTTATTATATAAAAAGAATGTTTGTGCGTTCGTCTCTTGGATCGCGATTCGTAACTATAAACTCAGTTATTGACGGCACCCGAGTGCATGTTACTTAAATATGGCCGAAACTCGCAAAGGCTGGCGTGAATCATTTACAAGAACCCGTGCATTTTATAAATAGAGCGATATTGAAACTGAAACATGGTAGGATTTAAGTTGTAGTGGATATGTAGTTGTATATGCGTATTTTTGTTTAAAAGTTTCGCGGCTCACTTCAGAGCGAAGCCGAACTCCGAATTCCTTCGAAGTTTCAAGGACTATTGCGTGAATAGTTTCGGTCACTTTCGTATTTACTTTCACAATATACATTTCGTCCCTATAAATTACATGCAGGGTTGTCTCAGAAAGTAGCGATAATCTGGAATCGGGGAAAATGCTCTCTTATGGCGAGCCAGTAAAAACAAAGTCAACGTTGTTTTTTAATGATTGAAGGATTACTGGTAGCCCTGAGGCCTTTCTGTTTCACCAGTACAGGTGAGCGAGCAAGGGTCAGCCAGAAGGGAGTAGTAGATTATATTGAGTAGTGAAAGACATTTGGTTTGGTTTTCATCAGCAGATCAATGTTTTTAATTGAACTTCAATTAAGTTTACTTCATTGAAATAACTAAAGTTTTTTTGTTATGATATTTTTCCAATTTTCAAACTTTAAATGAATCTCCTGTAAAGTTGCAAAATTGTCACTTAAACCAAAGAGCCTTTCACCCCTCGGTATGTACTATAAATATTTTTACATAGTACTGTAGGTGAAATGAACTCACATCAGGAACCTTCTCGAAGGCAACATCAAGCAGTTCCGAATTATAATAAACAAGTACTTTGAAGTCGCTAGTTTTCTTTAGACCGAGTCTGTCGCCAGTACGCAGCCATTCGAAAGACGGAACGAAGGAACGCATATCTTTCTCTTTCACTGAACATCCGGCTTTGGAGTACTTCATGTATTTACCTTTAAAAAACACGTTAGTAAAAACCACGGCACTAATTGCGACTGATCAACATCAAGCTATGCTACGCTGTGATGTGCTTTGTGGAGCTACATTTTAGGTAAAAAACCATTGTCACAGCCGCGTTCTATACGGACTCGCTTCTTATCTCATTGGCGGCTAGTATCAACTTGCTTGGTCTCAGTCTTTTGGATAATACTAAGTACGCATCCGTATACATGTCATCTTGGCTCGAGACAAAGCAATCTCGCGAAACTAATATTGTTTGTAAGCCACATGGCAAAAAAGTTAGCTTTTAGTTAAGAACATCTCAGAAAAGTATAGCATAGCTTGATGTTGTTTATCAAAGTATGGTATTATTTTTAGTTAACAGCGTAAACAATAAATCGAGTATAAGATAAACGGAAAACTTAAATCCACTGTCTTTTAAACCAAAGCACCTACAGCAGTTAAAATACATTTAAAAAAACACAAAAAATGATTTATTATACTAGAAAAGTTAAAAATCTGTGTCAAATTCTTAATTTCTAAATAGACATATAATAAAAAAATAAATTATATCTATGGTTTCGAATTTACGTAATTCGACGCCAATGCAAATCACATCAACCGCCTATACTGATTCAAATTACATGCATCACGGTAGAAAGTCCTTGCTTTAGAATTCTAGCGTGGTTTTACCTTTTCTGTAAGGTTTTGGTACTTTGCATTAGAATTAAAATTTACAAAGTCGCTTCGTAAAATTCAAAAATAATCGAGACTGTTCGATTAAATCATTGCTCGCTAATTAACTGGCATAGATGAATAAATATGGACGTAAATATTTCAAATATTCACGCCTTAGAAATTATAAACACGAGGTTGAAAACCAAAGTTTTCCATTAAACATTATTTGTTTGAGTCGTCTATTATCAAAGGTGGCAATCTGTGCATTTGGACAAAAACTTTTTATTGATATGTCAATACAGATTGATTTCAATATAATCGTCTCCTTCAAAGAATACCGTTAAAAACCTGCATTAAATAAAGGTTAATAGTTAACGTGTTATTTATGTAAGATGTCGTTCAGAAGAGTTTTGTGACTGCCAATGGAATAAGTCAATAATTCGTTTTGCTAATTTACCAATAATTGTCCAAAAGTCACATTGCCCGCTTTGATAATAGTCGACTCATTTTACGTACGGATTGACTTAGTGAAACTACGTAAATAATTATTGAATTTAAGTTTTAGTTCAAGTCACAAGTTTAATTACATTTTCATAAACTTTAAACACATATACGGGTTTGGTGTTGTTTGTGGAACTATTAATTTCGGATTAGTTTCACAAATCGTATTTAACAATGTAAACAATATTTTGTGGAAACAACATTTATACTATGTTTACTTGTTTTTAATATAATTTTTGTGTTACAAGTACATTATGTTGATTTTTTTCTTTGGTGTTATATTATTAGAGTGCAAAATAATTAAATTAAATAACTGAGAAATAAATTAATAGAATTTCTTTAAAAACGTATTAGCAAACATTTAACATCCATACTTATTATTTGAAAAAAAAACCTCCAGAAACAGATATAACATAAAGATTCGCTTTTGTATATTATTTTTCATTAATACTTGCCAATCTTAAATTTTTTGTTTGGAATTTTTTATTTTTTTATTCCTTCGACGGGTAGACGAGCTCACAGCCCACCCGGTGTTAAGTGGTTACTGGAGCCCATAGACATCTACGAGGTAAATGCGCCACCCACCTGAGATATAAGTTCTAAGGTCTCAAGTATAGTTACAACGGCCACCCTTCAAACCAAAACGCATTACTGCTTCACGGTAGAAATAGGCAGGGTGGTGGTACTTACCCGCGCGGACCTCTTGTTATTAAAATAGCTAAGTAATGAAGAACCAGCAAGCAGAGTAAAAACTCACCATCGATGTACGCGGTGAAATGCGGCAAACGTGATATATTAAGCGGCAGGCTTCTGTTCACGTGAGCGTTCAGTATGTTCACGTCGGTGATGCCCATACGAAAGCTGCCCGCGTAACTAGACTTGCATTCAACTATTTTGATCTAAACCATACAAACAATACTTGTATAGAGCGATTATATAATGTTTAATGTTTATGTCTTATTGTATATGCATATTATACGCACACATACACGCACACACACACATAACACACACGCACACACATAACACACACACACACACACACACACACACACACACGCACACGCACGCACGCACACGCACGCACGCACGCACGCACACGCACGCACGCACGCACGCACGCACACACACACCGCACACTGAGTTTTTTTTATTGCTATTGGACGAGCTCACAGCCCACCTGGTGTTAAGTGGTTACTGGAGCCCATAGACATCTATAACGTGAATGCGCCACCCACCTTGAGACATGAGTTCTAAGTATAGTTACAACGGCTGCCCCACCCTTCAAACCGAAACGCATTACTGCTTCACGGCAGAAATAGGCAGAGTGGTGGTACCCACCCGCGCGGACTCACAAAGGTCCTACCACCAGTAAAAAGTTTCTCAGTTTCTCACCGGACCTTTTCAGTGAATTTCGCGATTCGGTGGTAGATTCTGCGAAGCACTGCTCTAACTAGGGCCAGTGTTAGCAACACATCCGGTTTGAGGCCCGAGAGCTCACCTACACGATGCCAATGGGCTCCAGTAACCACTTAACACCAGGTGGACCGTGAGCTCGTCCACAGATCTAAGCAACAAAAAAAAACAACAACAAAACAAAAAGAACAAAAATTGTCGCACTCACTAGATGGTACATTAGAATTAATTATTATTGTTACCTCGAACATTTCTCCCACGGCCAGGTGGGCAGAGCTGAAGACCAAAGCGTACGTAGGGTCCGGAGTCAGGCGACGTGCCACCGAGCAACCGTGCATCATGCACACATTCTCGCCACAATACTCCGAGAAACTCCTGAAAATACCGAATACATTTACCATCGAACCGTATGTTCGACAAGTCTGAAAACGTGGCCCGAATGGGACAAGGAGCATTCATACAATCTCGTTTATAGGTTAGAATAACCATTATCTATTGAGACTTTAATCTCAAGCCTCAAAGGAGAAGGGACGGTCACGTACTGTCTCACGTAATTATTTGAGAACAAAAAATAATAACGAATACTATTTCACTGTAAGTCAGCATTACGTTTGAAACACTCGTCAATTTATATATATGTTTATAATATGAATTAACAAAACTGTAAATATTTAAATATATGAACTATACCAGTACGGAGGCGATGCGATTCCTTTAGTGTTGCCCATCAAAGAATTATCGGAATTAGTACAGCCGTTATAATTGAAAGCGCGTTCCTCATTCTGCAGTATCGTGACCTACAAAATCAATCAAAATATCAACAAACCAACAACTAAAACTATATTTTTCACTATATTATTATTATCATCATTATATCAGCGTGTCTTAAAGCATTAAGAAATCGCGGTTACAAGGTTGCAAAAAAAAAACGCATTTTTAAGTATTTCTAGAAGTTTCTTCCATTAACAGTAATTTAAGCTGCCGTTTCGTCTATGAGCTTGTTTCAGTTAACATCCCTAAGCATTTGGTAAAGTCTCTACATCATGTGACAAAAGGTAATTACCAAACTATTGATTACAGACCACAAAAATATAGATAAAACACGAAATTTTGAGGCGTTATCATCTAATATATTTTTTTATCTAATATTAAAAAATAAATTTAAATTACTATTAAAATTAGTTAACGTTACTGATACTGAGCAGTACTGATAGAGAGAACGAGGGACAATACGATACTGAATCAAGTTATGGGAATTTTAAAACACGATACAACGACGCGATACACTGCATGCCACTATGTTTAGAGCGTCGTCCTCTTTGCAACTATTTTTGCACTTAAATCAATACAAAGGGATGCTGCTGCTGGTAATTCTATAACGCGGCCAATCGTAACTAAAACGGAACGACACACTGATAGAATAATATCAAAAGTTTAAAACATTGTATCGCGACTTTTCGAGTTTTTACTAGCTTGAATAGGTCCGCGTTATGTTAAGCGTTGCCCATGTATGTATTAACAATAACGTCGTTGCTTACCAAGGAACATTGGGCCAAAATCTCAGCTACATTTAAATAAGGACTATCCCTAATAGATTTGTATTAGGTTTGCGACCAGACGATGTTCACGTTTTACAGATCTGCATATCTTATCAAAATTGTGAATTTCATGGGCCATTGCAATTAATTCGACCTCAGCCGGTCACTTTCCTATCATCGTACATTTAAACGAATAGGTCATCTTCATACGATAAGCGGAGACGTTTGTCAGTATTAATATATTAAATGCATAATGAAACAGATAATAATTTAATATCATAGCATCGTTGCCGTGTAGAGATCCCGGCGACCTGTTTATTTCTTTCTTTTTTTCCCTATCTATTTCAGTTTCGCCCTAACATGTAGGTGAGCTCACAGGGCTCAAACCGTTGTTGCTAACACTGGCCCTAACAAGAGCAGTGCTTCGCAGAACCTACCACCGGATCGGAAACGCGACCCATTGAGAAGATCCGGCGAGAAACTCAGTGGGCTGTGTCCCACTGTGTCTGTGGGTTAATTCGCTCGTCGACCCCTTCGTCGCAAGCGACGCGTTAGACGACGAGGACGGTGACCGGTACTTGTGGTACCTAAAAGCACCGTTAATGGATCGGGAGGATCCGTAATAACGTGTTTTGGGTGACGTCGACTATTTACCATTCGGTCTACAGGATCTATAGGTATGTAATTCTTTATAATATAATATGACTTAAGCTGGCGCGATTACCCGGTATTATAAGCACATATGGCGCTCGAAGCGAAATGATAAAACCACACACAAAGTTAATAATGACCAAGGAGAGTTCCTTGAACACGAGACGAGAATATTAGGTCTGCATATTCTTGCTTGATGTAAATAAATATTAAAGAGTAGAATAAGAATAAATAATAATAATAATATTGAAGAGTATGGAAGGAGAAAACATGTTGCGCCGACCCCAGGTGACTGGGAGAAGGGCAGGATAATGATGATATTCTTGCTTGATGTAAATAAATATTAAATCTCGCTAATGGAAAGTAAGGAGTCTAATACATCTTCTACAATTGCTCGATTGTCAAAACCATATCGAGGAGTGAAAGGCTGTTTGGTTTAAGCGACATTTTATAGCTATTTTTTATAGCATTTTATAGCTGTTTGGTTTAAGCGAATCTTTGTAATTAAAGGTAAGCTTTGTTTGATATTAGTATCAACAATTCGATGTTTTTAATTGAACTTGAAGTTTTCCACCATCGATATATCACCACGGTAATATATCGATGTTTTCCACATTCAAATAGCTGACAAAGTTTATACGACATTTTTTCCAAATTTTAAACTATAAATGGATCTCCTGTACAGTTGTCGCTTAAGCCAAATAGCCTTTCACCCGTCTTTATGATTATATTATACAACACTCTCACTTTTATCTAGGTAGTTTAGTGAACGTTTTCAAATTAAATTCCCGATGAGTTCGTGATGAAATTTCGTATAAAATTCCGAATCGGATCAGAATGCAAGATAACGCAGAGAGTGTGTAATCTTTGGATTTAATTGGCGTTAAAAACGTGATACCTATTTTCACTAATTTGTTATTCGTTTAAAGACATGAAAGCGATAATCATACGAATCGTTAACGGATGACGTAATCGAATATTCTCGACCTTTCGTTCGAGGAGCTCCACTTGTGTGAATTATCTCTAAGCTCACGTACCTGCGTGCATTGTCCATATAGATCTACAACGGCGTATATGTTCAAGTGCGGTACATACCACGCCTTGCCCATATCCATACCGTCCAGATAGTAGTGAAGACTACGGTCGGCGTGCCACATCATACCTGATTACAGTAACGACCTTTATATAGTGTTCCATATTCAAAATCATCTCCTTTTTTTTTTTATTGCCTTTGTAGGCAGACGAGCATACGGCCCACCTGATAGTGAGTGGTTACCGTCGCCCCTGGACTTCAGCAATGCCAAGGGCAGAGCCAAGCCGCTGCCTTTATTATTTTCTTCTATATTAAGGGTGACTGACGGAAACATACGAAATAGGAACATCTACACCCAGAATACTACTACATATTTCACAAAGGTACTGGTTCCGAATTGTAATAGCAATCAAACCCTGTGGTATAAATTCCATGATAACAATTTGTCAAACAAGGCGACCAACTTCTGTATGATTTGTTTGTTGCACATTTGTTGCATACATTGTTTGTTTTTTACTGGTGGTAGGACCTCTTGTGAGTCCGCGCGGATGGGTACCACTACTCTGCCCATTTCTGCCGTGGAGCAGTAATGCGTTTCGGTTTGAAGGGTGGGGCAGCCGTTGTAACTATACTTGAGACCTTAGAACTTATTCTCAAGGTGAGTGGCGCATTTACGTTGTGGATGTCTATGGCCTCCAGTAACCACTTAACACCCGGTGGGCTATGAGCTCGTTCACCAATCTAAGCAATACAAATACTTATGTTAATTTATTTCTTTATTTGTGACTTATTTCTCTATATCTATTTAATGAAACCTTTTAATGTAATTTTCATCAGACGATGAAAAGAATGATGATGATGATGATGATGATGATCAAATGATGAAAAATTCATATTAATTGGACTTGTTGTGTCTTCAACAAGTACAATTAATATGAATATAGTATGGACACGTAATATGGACCATACAATAATTTTATTACTTTAACGTAATATCGCGCACAGAAACAACAAGATAAAAAAAAAACTTATAGCTCGATTTGCAATTAAAACGTTTCTTTTTTGTTTTTAAACTATGTAATTCTTTATTAACCTTGTACAAAATTATCGAAAAACAACTTACAATAACAAAGGTCACCTAACTTAACCGATATGGCGTCACAAATAGGCCAATTATTAAGGTAATATTAAATTTGTTTACATTTTAAATCGCAAAAGCTATTACAATGAAAGCGGTTTATCACTTATTTAAATTCTGATTAAATAATATGGTATAGATAATTTATTCGCTCGTTTTTTCGAATGAATATTGTGCATAAAAATGATAACAATAATATTTATTATATATTGCAGAAGAGTAATGGGGAATTAATATTAGTAGCTCGGCGACTCTTTTGATAAATTGTTCTATTGAGATTCTGTTATGCCGTACACTTTATGGCTTATTTATTAATTTGCTTTCGCGAAAATCCATTGCTGGGTTCAACTTCTTTATGCATATTTTCCTATATACAATGATTTTTAATAAAAGAAGACCGTTACGAATTTATAATAAGATTGAATATGATTGGAAGCGCAACTAAGTTTCACTGTTTGTCTTTACGCGGCTGCAGAACTTTACGTGGCTGCAGCAAAGAGTGCTGGTCGATTTTAACAAATCTAAAACATTGTGAACCAAGCTCAGACATATTAATGTGGTAAACAAACCGCTTTGAAACATTACTGATTTCGTTATTGTCGTGTGAATATTTCCTAAAAAATTTTATAATCTAAATCTCATTTTCGGGGAGTATTGTATTTTTTTTATTGCTCAGATGGATGGACGAGCTCACAGCCCACCTGATGTTAAGTGGTTACTGGAGTCCATAGACATCTACAACGTAAATGCGCCACCCACCTCGAGATATAAGTTCTAAGGTCTCAGGCAGAAATAGGCAGAGCGGTGGTAACTACCCGTGCGGACTCACAAGAAGCCCTACCATCAGTAAAAAGCAAGTGCATTAAAAGAAATTAACTTTATTATATAAATAGATAAATTAATTTATGCTACAACTTACCAACACGACTTCCGACCGTCAGGGTGTCCAAATCGAGAGGATAACCACTACGGACGCACTCTCCGTCTTTCATCATAGCTGCCCCGCTTAGAATGTACGTATCCCAATTGAGATCAGTGGCTGTCCCGGCTACGGCACCTACCCCCCCGGTTGCTTCGAGATCGTCCGGGCGTATCGCAGTCACACCTACACCAGAAACGTAGAAAATTTAGTTTGCTTTCGTTTTTTTTGTTGGCAAGCAAATAATTTTAAAAGACGACCAGGAAATGTCGATAAAAGCAACACTATAAAATCGATAGTTGACATATCTATTTAATATTACGTGAAACAAAAACTTTGTACCTCTTTTGACGAAAATTGCGCGGACGGAGGAGTATGAAATTTCCCACGCTTATACTTTACATAGAGAAGGAGGAGTGAAGAATGCTAATATTTTTTCAAAATTATGCATACAAAATACATTAAATTAATAAGAAAAACACTGTACACACTACCATGTTTTTGACACACCGCGCATATATACTCTTTTGTTTATTGTTAGGCTGTGGTCTAGTTGAGAATAATATATCATTATTAATATTGTTTGTCTTTAATATTATTTGTATATAGCGTAGCCTTAGTGAAATCTGTGATTATAGAAGTCTTTGACAAGAGAACCTTAATAATGTTCAAATTTATAATTTAAATTAATTATGGTCGAATTTCCACCACTGGGCGACCACCAGATTAAAGAAAATCTCGAACGTCAAGCGACAATTTAACGTGATGAGAATCGACCTATTCTTGAAACTGAAACGCACGACTGCATCGCGACCGTCGTCTTAATACGACCCATAGTTCCTATATTCATTTATCGTAACTTATGGCATTTTTTTTATTGCTTAGATGGGTGGACGAACTCACAACCCACCTGGTGTTAAGTGGTTACTGGAGCCCATAGACATCTACGACGTAAATGCGCCACCCACCTTGAGATATAAGTTCTAAGGTCTCAGTATAGTTACAACGGCTGCCCCGCCCTTCAAACCGAAACGCATTACTGCTTGACGGCAGAAATAGGCGCGGTGGTGGTACCTACCCGTGCGGACTCACAAGAGGTCCTACCACCGGTAAAGTTCTTTGAGCGGCTCGTCTACTTACCGATCTCTAAGCTGCCGATCCAGCAGTCGACCATCTTGTCGATTCGTAACTCGAACATGTCGCATTCTCGCAGCGGTCGCGAACTGAACAGTACCGCGTCATTGAACTCTGAATAAACGGTCGCTCTGGAAGCCGTCAATCTGTTACGACTCAAACGGGCGTTGCGACCGTGAACACGATGGAAGCACATTTCACTAGAAACACGACATATCTTCTACAATACACTCCATAATGTTTTCCCAACTGATAATCTTTACTAATATCTATATATTAATAGGCGACGCAAAAACTTTGTACTACGAAAATTGAGCGGACGGAGGAGTATAAAATTTCTCAAACTTATAGAGAATATAGAGGAGTGTAGAATATTAATATTTTTAAAAATTATGCATAAAAAATACATTAAATCGATAAAAAAACATTACACGCCCTACCATGTATTTGACACACACACGCATGCATATTATTTGTTTATTGTCAAACTTTTCTTATTGCTTAAAGTCTGTTGTCATATTGAGAATAGATTAAATATTGTTTGTCTTTAACATTTTTGTCTAATTTCAATTAATTATAACCGAATTTCGACTACCGGGGGACCACTAGTCTATACTAATACATAAATCTACAGTGGTTTTTACCGATGTTCCGTTATAACTACTGAACCATGCATCCGATTGACTTGAAACTTGGTATTCATGTAGAAAATACATGTACTTAATGGATAGGCTAATATTTATATGAGTGTTGGACTCCCTACACCAGTTGCGGGGGCGTTAATGATGAGAATCTTTGTGAGGGTGAGAAATATATAGAGATGTTAATTTTAAATGCCCAGCGAAGCGGACGGGTACAGCTAGTGTCAAAATATAATCGTTAGAAATGGGTATTAAAATATGTTCCTGCAACCAATCAGAGTAAATACCACGCGAGATTTTTGTATACATGCAATAATTGGATGTTAGTTTTTCTTTTTTTTTTTGGTAAATTACGAAGATATTTCAAATCAAACAAAATGAAGGTATTTTGATATGAAAATATGGCAAGGAGCAAACTTCATATTACGTGTCGTGTTGATCATTTTAAATATCGTCATAAAACGATAGTTCTATTCTACAACTAAGCCGTTGAATCAATTCTTTATATTAAAGTATTAGAATCGAAGCCGTAAGCAAATGAAGATACAAGGATCAAATTATTCATATTACAACGTACTACATCTTTTATTTTGATTGCATCAGCATAAATAAAATTGAGTTCTTACGGGTTTACTGTTGCATTGGATTCCGTTGATACCGGAGAGTCAGGAGAATGCACGGGAGGGGGTAAATATATATCGACGATTGTTGCTTGTGCCACGCGTCCGTACAAATCTATTAGAATATAAAACAAAAATCTTAGTTTTCAAAGTTGTCTCCTTATTCCGTGTGCGATTTGATACTAAACAACTAAGCCCAAAAACTGCAAATCATATAAGGTGAAAGTGTCAGTTGAATGGTAATACAGCCTCAAGCTGTTTGACGTATGCCTGAATCGCGCTGACGACATTTTCATAATAAATTTGCAATTATAAAAGTTCCGACCAATAACATTTGGCCACAGACACAGCCCACTGAAGTTTCCAGACCTTCTCCGTGGGTCTCGATTCCGTTCCGGTGGTAGATTCAGCCAAGCACTGGTGTTGCATTTGATGTTAGCATAGTCTCCCAGGCTGAGCCCTGTGAACTCGCCTACACGCTCGGTGAAGGTAGCATCACCCCTCGAGGTCATTACCAATGAGTAGGACAAATAAAATAGCATTTGCATCAGTCTATCGAGCATTTTAAATCTCTCTAAATTGCCATGGACGGATTGGCAAACATGTTCCTTCTATTAGATTCAACACCCAAAGTTTCCACAATATTTTACCACCGTGAAAAATAAATTCCTAATCTTAAATGACAACACCACCATTCTTCCAAAGGGAACTATGAATGAATGATTCGAGACAGAATTGATTAGTTCGCGAAGGAATTACGCAAGACGCTGACTAATGATCGCAAGCAAATAAACTTCAACAATTAATGGTCCACTGTTGTTAGCTGGTTGAAATGTACCAAAAAAATGGATATTTCTGTGAAATGAATAAACCAGGATTGAAACTTTACGTTGTTATATCACAATAAATGCTGTTACCAATAATCCCAAAAACATGCTCCGGTATGTTAAAAGCTGCCGGCCCCTGATCGATTCCATTTACGTAAAAATGTAAAATGCCCATGTCTTTGCGCATGACTCCCACAGTATCACCTTCCTATAAATAAAAATAAAACTAAAATATTGTAACGCAGTGTGCTTAATGCGAGTATTTTAACGTTCTCGATCGCGTAAAAGTTAATTCAAAGTTGTATGGAGTCGGAACAACTCCACTACGTTTGCCGCTAGGGGCGCTGTTTCGGCTCCATACAAATTTGGGTTAACTATTACGCGATCGAGAACGTTAAAAAACTCGCATTAAGCACATTGGTCCTAGCCACACCTAGCAGTATTATCAATTATCATAGTAGAAAACTCCCTTTATTGTAAAACCACTTTAATTCGCATGATCAGTAAATTTTCTGTTAAATAAGTATCGAGTTGAAACATATTATTATTGTCTTTAAATTTATAGAACCAAATTTACATTGAATTACTTACCACTAATCTGTTTAAATTCCTAACGTATTGAGGGATTATAATCGTCCCATCTCTTATAACATCTTCACCGGTAATAGCCCAAGTTCCTGATCTAAAAATTTAAAGCAAATACATCAATTATTATACAAATGACATCGTATCTGATCGCAATTGGACTGATTTGTATAAAACAATGAGTATTAATTTAAATTCACTTTATTTGAACTGCCTTTATGGCGACATACAAATATTAAATTTTTCTGTGAGTCTATGACACAGTGCATATTGAATTAAATAAATTTAACTATATCTTCTACAATTAATACTTAAAAAATTGCTTCAATTCTTGTTTCTCACATCAAACAAAACTATATTTAAACAAAATCAACTTGTAAATATAATATAATAGTTGTAAAAAGTCTAAAATATACATGTTATATTTAAATATTCCGTGTATTAACTATTAAAGCAACTTCTAGCCAGTAAATGACAAATTCTTGTAGGGATGTAAATTTTTGATTAAAAATTAGCAAGTTACAAATCAATTCATTTCAAAGTGATTTTGATTAATTAAAAACTACAAATTAAATTCGGTTGAATTTGAAAAGAAAAAAAAATGGGAAAAAAACAAAGAAAGTTTTGGCGATACACACTTGGCATTGCTCATTCTGAATGGAAACTCAAATTCTGATGCTGTATGCTGCGTGACTCCAATTTCAATGCTTCCGGCCCACTTCGGGATAATGAGGTCGAGACGTACTTGGAACAGTTCGTTTGTTCTCAAAGTTCGGTTCGTCATCACTACCCCGTTATTGAAGAATTCGAAAGCACTAAATGTAGACAAACGTAAAGTTGATTAATTTGCTACGTAATTATTTTTTTTTTTTTTATTTTGTCCCTATATCCTATGCACCCATTGATTTAAATCAAACGAAACCAACTCTGTTCATTCAGATTTGTTGCCAGGACATTATGCACGGTCGTTATATTTCATAAATAGTAAAGTACTCATTTATGAGATTATGTTTGTTAGGAAACTGTATGGTTCTGTACCATATCCCATTTATTGACATACAACAAGAATTTTAAAATATTTAAATCAGATACACATCCCATTTCAAAGCTAAAACTTATTTAGTACCATTGTGACCATTAGAAACGCGATAAAACGAAACGACATACGAAAGTGACTAAAAAGAGACAAATATGGATTTTTAGGATTTAGTCTGCGACAAAATGAGTTAGAAAACTTCTGAAGGTTTCGCTTCAACTGTATGTAAACTAGACTTTTGTTGTAATTTAATTGATTGACTACGAGTTGGCTGTTCATACCAATGTCGATGAACGATAGTGACCCTTCACAAATGTGCAGTATATATGCCAGCCAATAAAAAGTTTTATTACTGTCGATCTAGAAGTATTTTTGTAAAACACAAAAATAAATATAAGTAATTTTCTAAGGGATAATCAATTTATTATCATTACATATATTTAGTAAAATAAAACAAATACTTACTTAGGCCTATGAGCAGTCTTACCATCGTTAATAATAATAACATTCGAATCACGCAGCGTATGAAATAAAAGGCTATCTTCGTCTATAGCTGGTCTAAATCGTCCTGTAATTTCGAAGTAATGTTATATACGAAAAATCACAAATAATTACAATTCAATTAAAAATATATCATTTTAAGGAATGTACGAAAATTTTAAGTAATTACAAGTTAAGGGAGCTCTTCATTAAAATATATATTAGTTACATTTAAATATACAACATTGAATTATCTTATTAATAAAGAATTTACTTTCAAATTTATTTTGACGGTTTAGATTTAAACCTATAATTCGTTTTGTACTAAAATCATAGTCTTGATGCTTTTGAAAGTAGTCTTACATCATAGATTTGTTGCATTTTAGAACTGATATTTTTGTAAACACATAGTTACTGTTGAATACTGACTAAAAGCAAATCTTACTTGGTTCGGCGATGTCGATAGCATTCATTGGTTGTGGAATATGTTGGATATTACTATCCATATCTTCACACGGATCCACTATTGAAACCTGCAGTAAGAATCAAAATATTCTTTTTTAATGCTTATTCTAAATAATTTCAACACAGAAGCCGGCAAGAATAATTGCATTAGACTTACTTTAACAGTCATTCCATACAAATCGACGACGCCCCATACTTGCGGTTCCACTTTATCTGTGGCCACACCTTGATCGACACCATTTATAAAATAATGCAATTCACCATTGCTTTTCCGTAACAGACCGACCGTTTCCGCTTCCTAAACAGAAAAACATTTAGAGCCGGTACTACATTATTAATTTAGACTAGGTACATTTTCTTATATGCGAATGAAGACAAGGGACTTTTTGGCGGGAACGCGAAAAGTGAAGTTGTGTGAATTGTTTTATTTTGTCTATTAAGTGTTTCTTCATGTTTAAATGTGTAATAACGGTGGTTTATTAACGGTTTAATATCTGTGAAAGTGCACAAATGTGGGAAAATGAAATAAACTCGCTGGACGTAGCTTCTCGGGATCCTCCAAAAAGTCCATTGAAAAAGTCTCAGTAAATAACCACCATTTTACTGAGATTATATTTCACCCCATATCATCTCATCTCATTTCATTTAACTTCATGTCAGTTGATTAATCTGGGTTTCCTTCATTTTTTATTATTCATAAACTGTAAATAATTAAAACGGCGAATTATAAAAATCTTATTACTTGACATTGGCTAATGCCAAACCGTGCCGGAGTCAAAAAATAAAAAAGAAGAATGAAGACAAACCCTCAATTCATCCAGATTAAAATTCCCGTATTCCATGCAAGTGCCGTGTCCGTTCAAAAGCACTTTGCATCCAGACATCATTATCGTACCAGAGTCCATGTTAGTCATAGTGGATGGAAAACGAATTGTTGCAGGGTTATGCGTGGTAACGCCCACCTACGAACAATTACAATTTTAAAAGCTCACTTGTACTATCATCATCGTCTTAGGCCTTACAGCCCAGGATAGGCCTTAGCCTGGTACAGTATGTCTCTCCAGACTGCTCTGTTCAAGGCTTTCTCCTTCCACCTTGACACCGATAGCTTTGAGGTCGTGCTCTACGCCAGCCAACCATCGGAGTTTGGGTCTGGCCTTCTGCGGCCCTCGGGTTTGCCATATAGTAGTTGTCTTAGCATTCTGGTCTCCTTTATTTGAACTACATGCCCTTCACTTGTACTATCGCTAAATTAAAATAGCGATCTGTTTATTTTAAAAGAATAATGCTAATTTAATGTACGGTGAACTGCAGAATTACATTAATCTTTTGAGTTCTTATATGTAATACTGTGAACACCGAGTTAATAAAAATAAACTACATAAAAATAAGGCATCAGTAGTTTTATGGTGTCAATTATATATACTATTGTAGTGATAGAGCAGTTATAAATATTAATACTTAAACTAAATAATACTAAATGATGGTTAAATGTCGTCTTGTGTGAGAGATTTGTTGTAAAGTATTGAGTTTAGTGTTTTTGTAATTAGTTCTAATATTTATCAAAATTTACGTTTTAAATATTAAGTTATGAATTCAGTAAGTTTAATTTCAATACTGTTTTGAGTAAAATTTTAAGGAGGCTAAACGCCGCCTAGCTTTCTCTTAATGTAAGTACTGTGAAATTACTTTTGGCTATTGTACATCACAACGAGTCTACTTCATATAGATTACTTCATTACAAAATACTGGTCAGACGACACTGAATTTGCTCAACTGCATCAATGACATTGTATTTCATTACCTCAACACTGCCACTCCATTTATCAACTAATCTATCTATACGTATTTCGAAAAGCTCGTTGTCATAAAGAGGTCGATGTGTCATCACAACTCCGTTATTATAATCATCCAATGGCCGGGCTCTCTCAGCTGTCCTGAAATATAATTGAATCTCCATGAAATATTTTATATTAAAATACGCTTATATGTTTAGTATGTACAATGTGCAAGTGCTCTGTGGTGATTGTATAATGATCCTGTAATATATATTTTTTACCATCATAAAGCATGCAGAGTAATTCCTGTGTATCTTGAGCGCTATGGACATATCCTTCTTCAAACGAGGTTTAAGGAGGGTCCTCCAAATTAGTCAGCTTGCCTACTGATGCCGTCTTATGTACATGAGCAATGGTGATCACTAAGAACCACGTGGGAGGTACACTGTTCTGTCTTCAATGTTAATTAAAAATTTAATAAATATATACTCCAGTCATTATCACAATAGATATTACTCACTTATTATTCCCAGAGAGTTTCACTAAAATTCCACATCTTGGATGAAATCTCAAATGATCTTGAGCTGTAAATTTAATCAATATTTTAGACTATATTGTATCCATTTTATTTACAGTGTAAATATTTACAAACATAAACTAACCAGAACTACAAGCTCCTTCAGAAGACATGGGCACATAAATATTTTGAGTTTCTTTTGGGAAGGGAGCAGATGGAAGACCAGCTACATCTATCTCGCTAGATGTTAATGTATCATCATTGTTGGGATCCTCTTCAGCCTGTATATGTATGGCAAAACATTAACAAATTTAATAAATAAATGTATAAATATTAAATTAAAGAATAAATAAAGTTTTTGACCTCCAATTTTCAACCTTATTTTCAAATACAATATAATCTTATTTTTAATTAACAGATTAAAAAGTTATCCACATTTAATTACAATCAAAGTGACTTCACATAAAATTTTCTTTCCAAGTATATTTTTATTAAAGCAATCTTAGATGTTAATTTATACCTGAACCAAACAAAGTTCCATTGCTGTCCTCAGTCCATTCACTTGTGATATAGAAACTTGCACACACTGACCATAAAGATCAATTACTGCAAACAACCTAGGTGGCAAATCTTTGGCAGCAACTCCAAGGCATCGTCCATTGATATAAAATGTTAATTCCGCCTAAAACATAAATTCACATTATAAACTTTTTCTCGTATAAATAGAAAGCTATATTACTCAAATTACATTTGGATACTTTTAGACTGGTTTAGTATGTCGAAATATTTTTCTTTTAAAAGTAAGTAATTAATACCTTGCTTGTTCTCATAACACCTAAACAATCACCCTCTCGAAGAGTGTCAAGCTCGGGCCCATAAGAATTTACAAGAGTTACACCATCCTTCACAATAGAGCTGCCTGACATTATCTGTTAAAAATATACGATGGACATTTAACCTTTTTATTTTTATAGTTTAACTTATATAACTTTTAATTATGTTTATAGTTTAACCAATTTGATTTTAATAAATGTTAACTTGACTAGGGAAATGGTCTAGTCTGAAAAAAGACATGAAAATTATGAAATTTATTAAGTTTACCTATTAGTAATTAGTAATTTAAATATTATTTGTTGTGTTAGTAATTAGTACCAAATTATTAATTTTTCTATATTACCCATGCTGTGTTGCGAAGTTTAGTAGCAGTGGCAGGAAGCTCCATAAACTCTGGATCCAAAGTAGTGACTCCTATTTCTAAGCTGCCATTCCAAACGTTCACCTATGACAATGTTCAATTTAGATAATCAAGATACATATAGGTAATTTAATATTTGTAGGTAATTAATTAAAAATAGCTCAATTCAAGATTTTTTTTAATGATGGAAGAATAACTGGTGCCCCAAAGGTATTTCCAGCTTTACCCTGACTGGATAGCACGCACGAGCTTTACTAGGCTAAGTAACAGCTGACAAAACCCCTCCGAAATAGACCTGACTGTTCAAGGGCTCAACAATTGTAACAAGTCCGATACTTTTTTGAAAACATGAGCAATATATTTTTGTACTTAACTGTGTCTTTATTTTAACTAATATGATATTTTATTATTAAATCAAATAGTAATTTACATAATGTACACTGATGTACCAATATATGCATAGTCTATATTCTTAAATTCTCCAAAATGCATTTTTATTAGCTTATTTTTATTTAACTCCTATTCATTAACACACTCTCAAGAAGTTAGTTATGCTCTCAGTTGTCAGATAATTTGTTGCTAATAAATATTTAGTATAGTTGAATTTAAAATACTTTTATGCTGTTAATATAGAGCATTATATTACATATAGAAAGTATATGCTAAAGTATTGATTGTGCTAAAGTACTTGGTCATTCAAGAGTGAATTTGCCGTGAGTGATTCCTAATTATTTGCCCACAAATAAAATATATTTGCTCGATTCTCACAGCTTACCTTTCTATCGATGCAAACTTCAAACATAACATCATCAGAAATCGGTTCAGCACTTAATATTAAACCATGATTAAATTCTACAAAATTTCTTATAGCTGTTGAATTATCATTAAGCAGTGTAACTCTGTCGCCGCACCTTCTGTGGAACTTCATTTTTTCTATGGAATAAGAAAAGCACAGCTATGTAAAATTATTAATGACTTGCAGTAGGCAATGGCAGTGTTAAAATAAGTTCAATGCAATTATGTTTTCGTATTATTTAATTCAAAAATTTACCTACATCTAGCACCTTTTGTGATCGACATTATGAATTTATTTTTAAACACATTATAGGACTTTTTATATTGAAAACTGTTACGAATATACACATACTTTTGCGCGAATCAAGCATGCTTGTAATTAATGTATAAAGTAATTCATTATTTAAGTTTCCCCGCAAAAAAAATTAAATGGTTAAGTGCAAATCATATTTTCTTTAAAATTGGTCTTGTCAATAAATTTTAAATGTCTGCAGAATAGTGATTGCCTAGGCAATTGCCATTCCGAGTTACAAAATAGATCGATATCAAAATTAGCTCGAATTGCAATCATGAACTAAAAATGGGTTAAAGATTTTTCTTCAAGAGAATTATATATATAACTTATCGGAGAATTATACTATAGTAAACACTACTATAATATTTTTTCATATTGTTTACGAAGAAATCAAGTCAAGTTTCACCCTTTAATTCAAACCCTAAAATTGAAATTATTAATCCATTGAGTTTCTCGCCAGACTTTCTGGGCCGTGACTCGCGAATCCGATCCGGTGGTAAATTTAGTGAAGCACTGCTCTTGCTAGGGGCTAGTATAAACAGTCATTCAAGGTGAGCCCGTGAATTTCGGTACCAGTCCGAGCGTAGCTAGGATAGCCCCTTAGGCTACCAGAGATAAGCTAGGGGTAAAAAATGAAACTAGTAGTTTTATTTGTGATTATTTCTATTCAATTTGACGAATCCAATTCATTCGATTGCTGAAACATTTCGTAAGTTACATTACTATTTTAATATGGTATAGTCTGTGTAAGAGTCGATCAATATAGCGTTTTGTTTTTTCAAACAAAATACTCTACAAGCTTTGAAAGGTGTAGGACAACATGAAAATTACAAACCATTTCAAAAATTGTAAACATAATTTTAGGCAATGTTAAATTAAATGTAACTACAAAGCAAACAAACTTGGATTATTGAGGTCGTAGATGTTATTAAAATTCATTGTTTTACAAATTCCTATATTTCAATTATACTACAATTTACAACTTTAGTAAAATCCCGTGAAAAATTTAATCTTTAATTAACATTCGTTTTATCTAGTAAAAACAAAAAGTAAAAATCTGACTGAATCTTTGTCACTAAAAATTAATTAAATGTGATGGTTACTTTTTTATTGACGGAATATATTGATATTGTCATTCCTACTCAATAATACACTATGTTTATTTAATATTTTAAACACCTTTGAAGAGAATAAAAAGTTTAGCATCGTATGTGTACCATTCTCGCTATAACAACAGCTACCATCATTTGGGCACGCTATAAGCAATACATACTTCTAATTGTTAGTTTTGGTATAGATTCCTGCTACTACCAACTACTTCTTACAAAACATAGTCTAGAAAAACTGTGCCCACAACTTAAGAATAGAGATCGACCAGTGACTGGTGCATATTGGCAACGGGAGGCATAAGTTATACAACGCTCAGTTTCTCAAGACTCTATGCTTCAGGAACATGAAGATTCGAGATTCTTAAACGCCTTTCTTTTCGGGCAGGGGCCGAACCCTACACAAGGTGGTAGGACCTTTGGGAGTCCGCACGGGTAGGTACCACCACCCCGCCCATTTCCGCCGTGAAGCAGTAATGCGTTTCGGTTCGAAGGGTGGGGTTGCCGTTGTAACTATACTGAGACCTTAGAACTTATATCTCGAGGTGGGTGGCGCATTTACGTTGTAGATGTCTATGGGCTCCAGTAACCACTTAACACCAGGTGGGCTATAAGCTCGTCTATACATCAAAGCAATAAAAAAAAAAGGTGTCCGCGCCTAGCGGCCACGCAAGTTATGTGGGACTTGACGGTCTGTAGGTGTTGGGAGCAGACCGCGGGCTCAAGAATATTTTCTAGGCCCTACCCACCAAACGACTCCCCTTACACTCTCTCATCTGACATCCGATCTCCGCTCAGGGTCAGAATCCAGACGGAATAGTTCGATCAACACTAGAAACAGACTCGCGGTGCTACCCCTACAACGCCCTACCGACGCGGCGACGGGTCGTCGGAGCAACAGTCGACGACTCTACGTCAGCCATCAGTCAAGCCGCCGCAGGTAGTGCCTCTTTTGTACTAGAATTTCCCGCAGGACGCTATATACCGCCATCCGATTCCTGACTCAGCAGTATCACTATGATTTTAAAGTTTTATCAATTAAGAAATCGATTAGTTCCGATTTTATGACCGGTTATCACGATTTGAAACTTAATGAATATAGAATATTAAAAAAAAAAAATCTGCAGTTGATTTTAACAGTTCCCATCACAAAAATGTGGTACCTATTAAAAAAGAAAATTCAGACGGGCATGTCTTATATTTGAATTTGAAAAAAACTTACCTACTTGCTTACTATTTCGCTTCCGATGTGTAAAATATTATAAATATAACAAGAGCCCAGCTGAAGCTGGAATGATCTCCATGTTACCAGGAACCATTAGGTACCTACATGCCAAAAAAAGTGTCATTAACTCGACTGCTCATTTGCGAAAGATAATTTGTGAAGTAGGTACATGTATTCTTTTTACAAATAAACAATTATTTGCGGTCGGTAAAGGCGTATTGATTTACAAATTTTCACTGTTGTCTATCTTCTATCAAACATTGTTCGTTTTATATTATCACGGACAAACTATAAAATAGACTCGACCTATTTTTTATTCCGACTCCCAACTTGCAAGGCCAGGTGATATGGACTTCCCACTGCCCGTATGCATTGTTTATACATTAAATTGGAAACTTTTATCTGTTTATTAAAGTTATAATGAATACTGCTTCAATAGAGTTTGCTTTTTGTAAAGGGGACTATGCTTTAGATTTTTATTAATAAACGCAGCGCAATCATACCTACCTGACACCATTTTCGGTTCCTTTAACTCTTGCTTAAAGCTGGTCTTTAATGAAAGAACCCGTCGCTTGCGACGAAAGGCTCGACGAGTAAATTAACCCTCAGACACAGCCCACTGAGTTTCTCGCCGGATCTTCTCAGTGGGTCGCGTTTCCGATCCGATGGTAGATTCTGCGAAGCACGGCTCTTGCTAGGGTTCGTGTTAGCAGCTTCGTCAGGTTTGAGCCCCGTGAGCTTACCTACTAGTTAAGGTTCCGCTGATATAGCCTCTCAAGGCTATCAGCTTAGGTAGAAAAAAAAAGTTGTCGATAGCTATGGGCTCCGACAACCGCTTAACTTATTCCGATACGTAAGTGTCATAAGGTAACGTATGAACGCTACTTCGACAAAGCGGCGCGACACGATAACACTCTTATCGTGACCGCCGCTAATTACTTAACCGACCCAGGCGACGGAGCAAATTTGCTGTCGTGCGAAACATGTCTTGGTCGGGCCAATAAAAATTAAAAATTCAATTATGAATTTAATAGTACGCACATATTGGGCAATAATGAAAATCACAAATCGCTGCTTAAAATACGTAAAAAATACGTAAGCCAAGTTAAACAGCTTCGCCATCAAAAGTATCGAACTATCTAAAATTATAAATTGCTGGCAAAAACGCTCTATAGATTTAAGCCGCAAAGCATCCGTTCGTTCCAGTACCTAATATCATGATTTTACGATATTCAAAAGTTATTTTCATTTCATTTCAAAAGAATTTATTGTATATGAGCATTCTATTCAAAAAAACATATTCTATCAGTGACCATAAAGGATTTTATACTTAATCCCTCTAGATTAATCTCCTGTGAGCTGCAAAGATGGTTGATACTATTGTAGCTAGTGATTTCATATCAAAGATATCAAAGATTTGAAAGCACAAAGTACAATAGTATCGGTAGGATTCTACCGCTTTTTCAGCTACAAAAACTGCATGCTGTTCTCGAGTAGTTTTAGGGTTGGTAAAGAACAATTTTATATTACACTTAGTTCGTTTAGCTAAAACTAGACGATGACCGAGCTTTGCTCCGTATTTTTTTATATTTTATATGAAAAAGGCACAAATAATATAAATAAACAATCCATTTTCTTGGTCTAACCTTAAACCAAACACTCATTGGCTTCGGGTTGCTTAACAATGCCGTCTGCTGAAATAGCTTAATAGTATTATTATTCACCAATAGATGTCGGGAAGAGTCAATCAATAAAGTTGAAAATAGAAAACACGATTAAAACAACATTTTCTGAAAATAATTCCTAGCTAGATCGATTTATCGCCCCCGAAATCCCCTGTATACTAAATTTTATGAAAATCGTTGGAGCCGTTTCCGAGATTCAGATATATTAATATACAAGAATTGCTCGTTTAAAGGTATACAATATTTGAAATAGTTTAATTAGCTCAGATACACTGGTCTGATTATCTCGTAACATGTCCGAATTAAAAAAAAAACCGAATATACAGAAGAAGTAAAAGCTTCAACGATAATAGTGTCAAAAACCGGAATCTAAATTACTAATACAAAGACCTTATCACGAGAACTAAAGTGTTCTTGACACGTCCATATCTGTAGACTATCTCACGGCTTAACTAGTTTCGAGTGGTTATAACAGCACAATGTCATCAGAACGTGGTTGCCCCGACTCATCTTGAGCCATGAGGCCGAAGATTCCATTACAACGGCTATTATAAACGCTATCATAGTTTTAAAGCAAGAATTGCGTGACTCTTTTGCTACCGAAATCTGATACTTAGGTATGCGGGTTCGCTATTACCACGAGTACACCTACCTACATTCTTGATTTTTCTGTGTTGATTTTTAATACACAATCCTATACCTTCATCGCATGGGAATCGCTCGTGAACGCAAAATAGGTACGTATTTCCTTTGAAAAATTGATATTTACCTGCGGGAGTTGAACAGCGACCTAGTCGAATCGTTCGATACGAGTAAACCAGGCCTGTACTAGGACACTAGGCTTGTCCTTTAGCCCACAGCGACTTAAATCAGAAGTGCTACTGAAGTGAGTCTCTTTTGAAAGCTTAACTGTTTTAAGTCAATTGAAACCTTAAAGTATCAAGTTGTTCTGAAGACTTAAGATGACTACGAGTCGTCTCCTTGTAAGTATCGCACAATCCGCTGGCTACAACAATTCATATTCCAATTATTGGCATCACCACCATTTTTATTGTTAAGATAGAGGGACGAGCTCATGGTCTACATGGTCTTAAGTGGTCACTGGAGCCCATAGACATCAATAACATAAATTACTAC